AGACTACCTATCCTATCCCATCATGCATTGCATCCAGCAAGCAATGATAAAGTTACATTGTTTAGACGCTGAGTTGCAGTTCAGCATGCAGGCTCTGTGAGCGTGGTGACACAAGGATGTGCATATTCACAGGGCCGAGTGAACTTGTGTCAGTGCATTGAGGAAGTCCATCCTATTAGCCTCTTCAATAAAACAAACCTGTTCGGGTGCAAAGCAGAACTTGAATCTGGCCTTGCGTGCAGTTCATATGCCATGTCCTCCTATCCCCCGATCTGAGCTGTCATAAGATCTATCATAATAAAAGTGGTTTATGGAAGATGGCTGTTCAGGTATCGGAGTACCATGTACCCTGAACATCAGCCGGGCCTCAACACTACAGACCAGATGTACAGAGATGATGAATGGCTTGCTGGGTTGCTTGGGATTGTGTGTGTCTGAAAGTAAACAGGACTGGAAAAGACGTCAGCAGCTGCGACACAGCCAGGGCGAGGTGGGTGTGAGGATTTCATTGATGGCAGTTAGTGAAAACTGAGCGCAGACAAAGAGATCAGTCATGGGGAAAAATATGAGGGTAAGAGGAGAAAGGAATGCCGGGAGTAATAAGAGAGAATTAAGCCAGACGGGCCGCAGGCAGAACACAATGTAATGGTTAGAGTGCGGTCATCCAGCCCGCCACGCTTGTCCACGATAGGACTGACCGGTCGCGGGTCACACCTGTTGTGCGCGATCAGGGAATGGGGACATTGTAAAAGCTCAGTCACTAACACTGTGTTGGGACACAATCTTCCTGAAACCTATCTGCCTCCGGTTGGGTTTTAACTGATACTTCTAATGGCCGTTCATGCTCTGGCCTCATTTTTTTTTCTGCACGAGAAAAACCCAGGTCACCGATAGGACACAAGTGTTTTCTATGTGGGCCGTGCACTGTGCTGCCGAAAAACGTAGACATGCTGTAAGTCTCCGCAGCCCACCGAATGCCACTACAGGTCACTTCGGCCTACTGCGCTCTGCAGGGACCTGAATAGTGTACACTACCAATAAAGGAAAAAAATGTAAACCATAACAGCTGAGGCAGTGAGGGGAATTCATAGAATCTGGAGCAGTTGCCCATGGCAACCAATCAGCTTCTCTGTTTCTTTTTTCAAAGCTTTAACAGAACAAAAAGAAAAGCTGATTGGTTACTATAGGCAACTGCTCCAGTTTTTATGTATTCTCCCCGGTGTGACATATGCTACACACTGCTAGAGCAGAAATCCGTGTCTGTCCGTCTTGCAATGGAGGGGAAAAACTGAAGTTAGCGGACCCATGTTAAAGTGACATTAAACCCTCAGATTTTTTTACATAAAACAATACTGTAATGTGCGCCTTACTGTAATCCATGGTTGTTTCCCTTCTCTTTGCTGCTCTTCCTTTTAAATCCGTACTCTTCTCATGCTGGGCAGAACTTCTGTTTTGCAGCAGACTGCCTTGTCTCTGGAATGGATACATGGTGTCTGTGTGTAGGTTTGCAACCTGAGCCAGCACTACAGGAAGAGGCACTCAGCTGCAAAGGGAAGTTCTCCCCCAGCATGAGAAGACATGAGGATTTAAAAGGAAGAGCAGCAAAGAGAAGGGAAACTACCAAGGATTACAGTAAGGCACACATTACAGTATTGGTTTATGTTACAAAATCTGAGGATTTAATGTCACTTTAAGTCTATGGGCAGTCAGATGTAAACTGACATGTGTCTGTTTTATATCAGATTACTCCCGATCCGCCATAATCCGGTCCTCCAAAATGGAGCTCTATTCTGTTTGGTTTTCCGGACCTGGCCGGAGTCGGGGGGTAATTGAATGAAACTGGCTGCAGGTCTGTTTTTAGATCTGGCTGCCCATAGAACTAAGGCTGGGTTCACACTTAGGCGTATCGAATATGCGCGTTTGTACTGTGATTCGCGGTAACAAAACGCGCGTTTCCGAGGGCTACTTGGCTGTATCCCAATGGAAACGAGCGACAAAAACGCCCCAAAGAAGCTCCTGTACTTCTTTGGGCGTTTTGTAGCGCGTTCATAAGGCCTGTAATACGCCCAGGTGTGAACCATACCCATAGGAAATAATGGGATTTCGGTGTTTGAGCGTTTTGCAGAGCGTTCGAACGCGCTACAAAACGCCCAGGTGTGAACCAGGCCTAACTTTGGGCTTTCGATCAGATCCACCTGAAATACTGACAACCAGACCTGATCGGAATATCTGTGTAACAATGCTCAAAGCTAGGGGTGAGGAAAGCTCTAGACCAGTGGTTCTCATTATTTTAATTTTTTTAAATATTTAATTTTTATTCTTTATAAACTTTGTCATTTTTTTTTATTCATTTACTTTCAGCAAAATATATATTGCTGAATACTGCACAAGTTGTTTTGTGTAATAAATTAAAATGTTTCAGAAATGAAATCATTTTTGGGTCACGCCTTAATGACCAAGGAAACATGTGGGTCCCGAGGTTACACAGGTTGAGAACCACTGCTCTAGACCAGGGGTAGCTAAACTTCGGCTCTCAAGCTGTGGTGACACTACAAGTCCCATTAGGCTTTGCAAGACTCTGACAGCCACTGGCATGACTGCCACAGTCAGATGCATGATGGGACTTACTATTATTATACAGGATTTTTAAAGCGCCAACAGTTTGCGTAGCGCTTTACAAATTTGTATTTTCACCACAGCTGGAGGGCCGAAGTATAGCTACCTCCTGCACTAGACCATGAATCTTTTATCGACAAGTGGAAGCAAAAGTTGTCTTTACATACTATAAGGATCAAATCTATCAGCTGCAGAGGAAAGAAAACATGGATGTGTGATAAACAACTCCCACATGTCTGATGTGCATAGGAAAAATGACAGCAGAGATCTGATTGCTTGCCATGGACAATCTAGAGTTTCCATCTCCTTCAGTTTAGATGAGGACCATTTCAGAAATCTATATGTTGTTTATCTGCATTAGGAAGCTGACACATCTCCTGATTGCATAATTGCACCCGCTCGCTCCCACTGATCCTATCATATGACAGTGGCGAGGTATCCGTCTCCTCTTATCTATTTCCAGTTTGTTACAGTCGGTGTTAAAACAACTACGCAAACGACTTCGGAAACCTATCAATTAGTCCCCATTCACACTTGTCTAGCTCCACCTCGCAGGTGTGTGTGTTGGGCAATGGATCCGTGACAGGATCGAGAGGTGAGCGAACGCCGGTATGTGTTCGCTCACCTCCCGATCTACTGAGCCGACCTGTGACAGTCTCATTGTCACAGGTCGGCTAGAACTATGAGGTGAGGGAAAAGCACTCACCTCATAGTTCTCCTTTTAAGAACAAATGGCACTGCAAAATGTTTTAAGGCTCATTTTGCATCTCTTTGGTTCACGGGGTGCAGCAGGCAGGGCGGCATCTTTGTTTTATAGTGGCCACACTGCTGCACAGTGCCGTCTCCTTTCCGGCCAGAGCATCCCAGGTTACTAAGAGTCGGGTGGGAGATTTGTAAGGGCCATACACCTCCCCGCCCAGCTCTTGGCAACCTGGGACGCTCTGGCTGGCATCCCGCCCAGCTCCTGGCAACCAGTGACTTCCCTGGTCGCCAGGATCTGTGCAGGACACTAGCCAGAGCGTCCCAGGTCTGCAGAGGGCAGTATCACTCTTGTGCACAAACACCTCCCCAACTCAGGCAGCAAAAAGTCAAGGAACACCAATTACCTGTCTATATTTTCCTCTTTAGTCCCTTGTCACTGAGACGGAATGTGAGGGGAAATGGTTGATTTTGGAAGTAAAGGTAAATCTTCCAGTGAGTACATCCTGTTCTGGTGACAACTGTCTCATGGCTTCACACCACTGACAGTGTGCTTCAGTTCAGTTAGCTGCTGGAACACCCTCTATCGCATTCTAAACTCCCCCCTGTGCTCTGGGGTGGGAGGGGGTGTGGTGGTGCATTGAAGTCAATGGCACCGCAGTCACGCCTCCCGCCCACAGTGCGATCGCCCGCACCAGAACATGTGGCACAACATTGCCTGTGTTACGGTCGAGTGTGATCGGAAAAAAATAGTGCATGCAGCATGGACTGCTGGAGTTTCTTTGTGGGCGAGGGGCCTGCCTGCAAAGCCATTGACTTCAATGTACCGCCACGCCCCCTCCCGCCCTAGAAAGCAGGGCGAAGTTCAGTATGCGATACAGGGCGTTCCAGCAGCTAACCGTGCTGGAACACACTACCAGTGGTGTAAATAAGCCCTGAATGGGGAATTTGTCTCATTTTGTAAAGATTACTCCTCATATCCTGTTGCATCTCCAGGACAGGAAGAAAAGGGAAAGCTCTCCAGTGTGACAGACAGGAAACCATAAACTGATTTTAACCTTCTTTACTCTATCCAAACCGAGAAAGCACAAAGTTGTGGCTATACATTTGCTTTAATTAGGCAGTTGTGGTTGAGCCACCTCTCTGCACAGCTGCCTCATCTGTAAATGTCCTTTACGGGCCTCCATAGACAGCTTTAATTTCGTAATGCTGAACTGGTTGGAGTTCGAGTTGCAGGTAGTCCTGCAAGTACCACCAGCCCTACATCTGATAGCATGCGGTCACTAAAAATTGCGTTGTGTATGGTCCTCTTTACGGTGCCATGAGATGTGGAATTTACTTGGTTGGCTTGGAAAAGATCTAATAATCTTGCCTTAGCCATGTATTAGGAGTTGTATCTGGTACTTGCAAATCAGAGGTTTGGGGTGTCCTCCTAGACCAGTCAAACTACGATGCTCCTGCTGTGGTTCAACTACAAATCCCATGAGGCATTGCAAGACTTTCACAGCCACAGGCATGACTCCAGGGGCAGATGCATGATGGGATTTGTGGTTTCAACATAGCCGGAGGGCCGAAGTTTGGCTACCGCTGATCTAGACAATCTCTCCCTATGTGTTTAGAATGTTGTATGTGGTCATCCTAAAATGTATCCAAAACGTCTTACAGTTCTGCCCTCTCCTCTCCAGGTTTTCTGCTGAGGATCGTGTAATGACCTCAAATGTCGTCAAAGCAGCTTCTCCATTGGCTAGCGCTGTGACAGGTGAGTCATTAACATCCTATTAGGTCAAAGAGGGTAAGCTGTCCTGAACATTCCCAAATATTTGCCCTGCGTGCCTTTTTAAAATGTGTCGCTGCCCAGTTATAAATCAAACTTGCTGAGATTTAAACCTGAAATATTTGTTTCCTGTATTTAGTAGGTTATTTTGGGGTGCATTTTGCAGGGAAGTGCGGTCAGGGGAGGCAGGTGAGGCAGAGCCTCTCCTAGTATTATGGAGGAAAAAGCCGTCAGCTTCAAGTCTAAAGCTGACTGCTTTTTCTCCATTCAGATTGGCTCCTTACAGGTTACACAGCAGGGAAAGCCTCCCCTCTATGTAACCTGTCATGGAGGGAGCGCTGACTGATAATTACAGGCAACGCTGCATCCAGCTTTTGACAGCTAAGTTAGGTAACACAGCAGCGGGCTTCCACACTGCTTGTGTAACCTAACTAGTGAGGCAAGAGCTGTCACAGCCTATACTCTGTTAGAGGCATGAGCTCTGTGGATAGTTTGGACCAATGGTAAAGTGCCATTGGTCCAAGCTGCCCAATCAAAAAAAAAACTGACTGGGTTGAGGGGGCGGGGCTTTGGCAGGCAGGGGAATGCCTCACCCATCACGGAAGGTACCGCACGTCACTGGCATTTTGTGAACAAGATTACAAGTTGGCTCCACTGTAGTTACGCTTGGTGGGTTGAATCAACCTGCTGGCTTCTTATGAATGTTCCTTGCTATAGTTCTTTCTGTACCCTTTGCTGGCCATCGTGTCGCTCTGCTATTCTGCATTGTCGCATAATGCTCCCATAGCTGAAAGAGCCATTGCTGTCAATGACAAATAATGGCTGTAAGGTACCTGGGTACCTTGCCACCACCTGCGGCTTGCCAGCTGACTGGTCTGTTGGGCAACCATTCACGCACTCACCGATCGGCTAGCTTGCACACACTGACCCTCATCTGCATGCAACCAACAACCACACATTGCAGTTTCACTCAGATTAACAACAAACCTACAGCGAGTATACAGACACTGATAGAACAATGCAACAAAATCTCTCTTGGAGTATGAATTCTTAGCTTAGTACACAGAATATCTGTAAAAATATAAGGCAACTGGACTTGCTGTATTTTTTTTGAAGACGTTTCACTGATCATCCGACCAGCTTTCTCAATTCAGAATGACTTGTACATAAATTCTCTGGGAATAAAGATGGTGAGTGTTGCTCCAACCCACATAATCTGTTAGTCACATCTAGGTGTTGATTGCATTTGCAGATGATGTGGGTTGGAGCAACATTCACCATATTATTCCCAGAGAATTTTTGTACAAGTCATTCTGAATTGAGAAAGCTGGTCGGATGATCAGTGAAACGTCTTCAAAAAAAATACAGCAAGTCCAGTTGCCTTATATTTTTACAGATATACCATGACCTGAATGAATGAGAACCTTCACAGACTCAGTACACAGAAGCCACTTATTAATTTCACTGTCCTGAGTGGTCGGCGTGTCACAGATATGTACAGAAGAACCCTAATGGGTGATGATGGGAGAGGTTGGAGCTGGTACTGTGGCTGACAAGTCTGTGTGGAAGGTACCTGCACAGAACATTAGTCATCTGATGTTTCTGCGGCTCGGCTTTGCAGCCTGGTTCCGGTTTCTTCTTCTGTGGGAGGCAGTAAAATAACAGCTGCCATCGGTTTTCGGGGAAATTGCTAGACAGGAAGTCAGTTAAGTGTCGGAACATACCAGCTTGTGGTCTCCCGGCCTCACTGCTCTTGCTATTACACCTCCTGGCCTGACGAGCCCAGATGAACTTTCAGGTTACATTTTAGCTAAATACATTCCAAGTCCATAAAGACAAAAGGTGTTCAAAGCCCGCCCACGGCGACTCGCTCACCAGGGGTGACAACTAGTTTGGCGGAGGAGGAGGGAGGAGAAGACTTGCTTAGAACAAGGCACAGCCTGCAATACCGGTGGCCACTGGAGACTGGCCCAGAATTGGGTTCTTAGGCCCCGTTCACACTGAGCGGTTTATCGCGCAATTTCCGCGCGATATCGCTCTATGTAGCTTGTCCAATGCATTTCAATGGAGCTGTTCACATCTCAGCTCCATGTCGCCTGTAGCTCATCCATGACCCTTCCCCCCCCGTGGATGCCGCGCGATTCGGCTCCAATAGACTCTATGGTGACGCGCAAAATCGCACATTACCGGCGATATTGCACGACTTTGTCTCATCCACTCCCTTGTTATCTCTCGTCTTGACTATTGTAACTCCCTCCTCATTGGCCTTCCACTACACAGGATATCCCCCCTTCAGTCTATCTTGAATGCAGCTGCCAGACTTGACCAACCGCTCAGTGTCTGCATCCCCCCTCTGCCAATCCCTGCACTGGCTTCCACTCGCCCAGAGGATAAAATTCAAAATATTAACAGTCACTTATAAAGCCGTCCACAACTCCGCCCCCGGCTATATCTCAGACCTTGTCTCAAAATATCACCCTAAGGCCTTGTTCACACCTGACCGTTTTGTAGTGCGTCCTACGCTCGACGAACGCTCTACAAAACGGTCAAAAAAATAAATAGCATTGTAGTCAATGCCCTCGTTCCCACCTAGGCGTATCTCCGCCCGTCCCTAACGGCCCACGCCTGAAAAGGTCCCGGGACTACTTTGGGCCGTTTTGTAGGGCGTTTTCCATTGGGATACAGCCAAGTAGCCTTTGGAATCGCGCGGTAAAAAAACCGCGCGACAGACGCGCTTTTGCAATACGCCTAGGTGTGAACCCAGCCTAACCGTCCACTCTGCACTTCCCAAGACCTCCTGCTTTCCAGCTCCCTTGTCAACTCCTCCCATACTCGCCTCCAGGACTTCTCTAGAGTCTCTCCCATCCTCTGGAATTCTTTACCCCAACCTGTCCGTCTATCTCCCACCCTGACTGTCTGTCTTTAGGCGTTCCCTGAAGACTCTACTCTTCAGGGAACGCCTATCCCACCTCAACCTAACCACTGAACCTTCATATTCTCAAACAATTCATCCCCACACAGCTACCTCCTCATGTATCATTTCCCCCTCCGTTTTAGATTGTAAGCCCTCAGGGGCAGGGCCCTCCTTACCATCCTGTCTTGAATTGTATTGTAATGCCTTCCTTATATTGTAAAGCGCTGTGCAAACTGTTGGCGCTATATAAATACTATGTAGTAATAATAATAATAATAATTACCGGTGATATTGCACGACATCGCGCTACAGAAGGGTCACTTTTTTGCAATGCAAAATGGAAGGAAAGAATTCTGTCACGTCAAGATCGCTGTTTGGTTACAGCCCAATATAGCAGCGACGAAAAAACGCGTTACGTAGCGCGATAAAATGTGCAATGTAGCTCTAGCCTCTCAGCACGAAATCGCACAATATACATGTCGCTCAGTGTGAATGGGGTCTTAAACTTTCCTGCAAGCTAGAATCCTAGGTCACTGTTCCCACTGCCCACAGACCCGCACCAGTCACATGACTCGAGGACCATTCACACCAACCACTGTGCTAAATCACCCAGCAGCTGATGTGTGGTGCCCGGCACAGTGCTGATGCACCGATTCCGGCAAATCGCACGGTGTACTCGTTCGTTTTTAACAAATGTCCCTTCAATTCTACGGCACGGCAAGGTGGGAGGCGATTGACCTGCGTCTCCTACTGCTGCGTTGAAAAAATAAGTACTGTATGCTGTACTTCCACTGCAGCGCATATGACCGTGTTCCTCTGCAGCGCAGTGGTGTGAATGGTGTCCATCCGTGACAAGGTAAACTGCATCACAATCGGGGCCCAGCAATGGCAATCATAAAGTGTATGTATAGCCAAATGGAGTAGTGAAGGGTGACATCCCCAGTTCATTGCTGTCTGTCTGCTAATAGGGAGATTTCCTATTACTTCATTTCCTGTCCCGGGCACACAACAGGAAGTGGGAGGACATCTCTACTCGGTGAGGGGATTTCCTGTTGGACAACTGTCACTGTTACTTTACCCGGTTCCTCATTTCCCCAATCACTAACATGCTAATGAAATGTTTAAAGAAACCGTTCAGTGTTCTTTGCATACCTTCTTATAGACCCAGTGATGATATCCTCCCTGGGTCCCTGTGCTTCTCTTGGCAATGCAGGCGGGTCTCCTCTAGGCAATGCAGGCGGGGCTCCTCTAGGCAATGCAGGCGGGGCTCCTCTAGGCAATTCAGGCAGATCATAACCACCTTGCAGGGACAGTCAGGATGGGGAAGAGGATGGGGAAGAGGATGGGGAGGAAAGGGGCAGGGTCAGGGTCAGTCGGGATGGGGAAGGAAGGAAAGGGGCAGGCCAGGGACACAGGATGCGGAGGAAAGGGGCTGGCCAGGGATAGTCAGGATGGGGAGGAAAGGGGCCGGCCAGGGACAGTCAGGATGGGGAGAGAAGGAAAGGGAGAGAAGGAAAGGGAGAGAAGGAAAGGGAGAGAAGGAAAGGGAGAGAAGGAAAGGGAGAGAAGGAAAGGGAGAGAAGGAAAGGGAGAGAAGGAAAGGGAGAGAAGGAAAGGGAGAGAAGGAAAGGGAGAGAAGGAAAGGGAGAGAAGGAAAGGGAGAGAAGGAAAGGGAGAGAAGGAAAGGGAGAGAAGGAAAGGGAGAGAAGGAAAGGGAGAGAAGGAAAGGGAGAGAAGGAAAGGGAGAGAAGGAAAGGGAGAGAAGGAAAGGGAGAGAAGGAAAGGGAGAGAAGGAAAGGGAGAGAAGGAAAGGGAGAGAAGGAAAGGGAGAGAAGGAAAGGGAGAGAAGGAAAGGGAGAGAAGGAAAGGGAGAGAAGGAAAGGGAGAGAAGGAAAGGGAGAGAAGGAAAGGGAGAGAAGGAAAGGGAGAGAAGGAAAGGGAGAGAAGGAAAGGGAGAGAAGGAAAGGGAGAGAAGGAAAGGGAGAGAAGGAAAGGGAGAGAAGGAAAGGGAGAGAAGGAAAGGGAGAGAAGGAAAGGGAGAGAAGGAAAGGGAGAGAAGGAAAGGGAGAGAAGGAAAGGGAGAGAAGGAAAGGGAGAGAAGGAAAGGGAGAGAAGGAAAGGGAGAGAAGGAAAGGGAGAGAAGGAAAGGGAGAGAAGGAAAGGGAGAGAAGGAAAGGGAGAGAAGGAAAGGGAGAGAAGGAAAGGGAGAGAAGGAAAGGGAGAGAAGGAAAGGGAGAGAAGGAAAGGGAGAGAAGGAAAGGGAGAGAAGGAAAGGGAGAGAAGGAAAGGGAGAGAAGGAAAGGGAGAGAAGGAAAGGGAGAGAAGGAAAGGGAGAGAAGGAAAGGGAGAGAAGGAAAGGGAGAGAAGGAAAGGGAGAGAAGGAAAGGGAGAGAAGGAAAGGGAGAGAAGGAAAGGGAGAGAAGGAAAGGGAGAGAAGGAAAGGGAGAGAAGGAAAGGGAGAGAAGGAAAGGGAGAGAAGGAAAGGGAGAGAAGGAAAGGGAGAGAAGGAAAGGGAGAGAAGGAAAGGGAGAGAAGGAAAGGGAGAGAAGGAAAGGGAGAGAAGGAAAGGGAGAGAAGGAAAGGGAGAGAAGGAAAGGGAGAGAAGGAAAGGGAGAGAAGGAAAGGGAGAGAAGGAAAGGGAGAGAAGGAAAGGGAGAGAAGGAAAGGGAGAGAAGGAAAGGGAGAGAAGGAAAGGGAGAGAAGGAAAGGGAGAGAAGGAAAGGGAGAGAAGGAAAGGGAGAGAAGGAAAGGGAGAGAAGGAAAGGGAGAGAAGGAAAGGGAGAGAAGGAAAGGGAGAGAAGGAAAGGGAGAGAAGGAAAGGGAGAGAAGGAAAGGGAGAGAAGGAAAGGGAGAGAAGGAAAGGGAGAGAAGGAAAGGGAGAGAAGGAAAGGGAGAGAAGGAAAGGGAGAGAAGGAAAGGGAGAGAAGGAAAGGGAGAGAAGGAAAGGGAGAGAAGGAAAGGGAGAGAAGGAAAGGGAGAGAAGGAAAGGGAGAGAAGGAAAGGGAGAGAAGGAAAGGGAGAGAAGGAAAGGGAGAGAAGGAAAGGGAGAGAAGGAAAGGGAGAGAAGGAAAGGGAGAGAAGGAAAGGGAGAGAAGGAAAGGGAGAGAAGGAAAGGGAGAGAAGGAAAGGGAGAGAAGGAAAGGGAGAGAAGGAAAGGGGCAGATCAGGGACAGTCAGGATGGGGAGAGAAGGAAAGGGGCAGACCAGAGACAGTCAGGATGGGGAGAGAAGGAATGAGGTAGGCCCGGGATAGTCAGAATGGGAAGGAAAGAACTAGATGATGCTGGATCTCTCCCATCCATGGAATGAGGTGGGCTCTATCTGACCTGCTGCAGCTTCTAATGCACAGTGTGAGAATCTCGCAGTGTGCAGTGACAGTGAAATCAGAGGAAGCAATTTCTGTCCAGGAGAGGAGCCGGTACAACTGCAAGACTGAAGGGAAGGCCGGCGTTTTTGTGCATTATTTTCATAACAAATAAAGTTTGTTTGTTGAAAGATGTTTAACGCCACAAATGCAACGGTCTATAATGGTGTGACCTGATCACACGTGGACACGAGTGGGGTTGAGAAGGGGGGCTGGCGGGAGGTGGGGAGCGCATTAGGCTTAGTGGCCCTTCAATGCTGCACTAGAACTAAGGAGCATACATCATGTGACCTCGGCGCGGTCTCACGGCCCCCGACACAGGCTGAGGCCAGCGCTGCCGCGTCAGACAAAGGCCCAACACAGCCACACAAAAGAGGGATTGAGCCAGGTCCAACGAGGGGAGGGGGTGTGATGGGGGGAGACGCCGCCTGCAGTTTTACGGCCAGTCAATAGCTGAGGGATGAAACCACCAATGGAAGTGTCCCCATGTCAGGGAGGGGGGCCGCCCGGAGTCATGCTGCCCTGGAACTCCGGTAAGATATCAGTGTTACTGTACAGCCCGATAACGTGGCCTTATCCCAGCACAACCCAGGTGTGGCCGCGCTGCTCACTATGTGTATTGCATTGCCTGCCACCTGCGCTGTAAGTACATCCGTTCTTTTCTATGTATACATTGCAAGGAACAAACAACCCCCAAAAACCTACTTATTGTGCTGCATTTCACCTCTACATTTCTCTTCATTGGGCCCCGTTCTCACCACAGCGTTTTCTTCCACGCTCAAATGCCTGCATTTAAAATCGCATACATTCCTATGGTGGCCGTTCACGCTAAGGCGCTGAATCGTGCGTCCTGTCGCTTGAAATAGTCCCTGAGCTACTTTTGTAGCGCTGATCAGCTCGTTTTGCTCTCTAGACTTCAATGGAAACGCACTGATCAGCTTGTTTTGTGCATTATTTTTTTCTTGCACGGTTTTAATCGTATTTAGGTGCGTTTTACAAGCCCGTTACCTGTAGACAAAGCCACCTGCTTGCAAAGTATAGTGGGGTCCAAAATGGAGGCGTCGGACAACTCATTTGATGCTGATGATTTTAGTCATCCAGCACTATATGATCCCGGGGATCCAGATTATAAAAAGAAAGGGAAGAGGAACCGAGCGTGGTGTGATATTGGTGCAACCATGTGTCCTGATTGGACAACCTGCACAGAAAGACATGAAAAGTAAGCATGTGACGTGGTGTGTTTTTTTTTTTTTTTCTTCTAGCTTAGCAATGTAGCGGTTGCAGGCATGTTGGGTCAGTAAACAGCATGCATTGGGTGTCGTGTGCAGGGGCTTTCTGAGTACGGGTGTCACCCGGAGCCAGTACCGGGTGACAGCCCGCCGTGACATCATCATAACGTCTGTGGTCAAAGGTGAGACTGCTTTTCATTGGACCTCTGTCAAAAAAACGAGCTGAAACGCGGCTCAAAACGGAAACCGCCTGTGATGCTGCCCGTGCACACGTGTGACCACGGCAGTGGGCTTTAACGCCAGGCTGCCACATATATGCGTGCAACCGTTGTCCCATGTTTGTAATCTCGGTCACTGGGCTCCCAATCACATGATCAGTGTGACTGCCGTGATCAGAGATCACATGGCCGGGATGCAGACCCGTGTACGAACTTATAAGGGGTCGGCTCTTGCTGGCTGGAACAGGTGAACAGTAACCTAGGTACTAGTGGTGTCCCTAGACTATCTGCCGCCTGTAGCCCGGGAGGTGGTGATTTTGATGCGCGCTATGGCGGGGTCGTGTGCTAATGGTGCACGCTATGGGAGGGTGCCAGTTGTGCATGGTACCCGGGGGGTGGGGGGGGGTCGTGGTGGAGTGTCCATCGGTCTCACCCAGCTCCTGGCAACAAGTGACACCAGTGAGCTGGGCGGGATGCTGGACAATGCCCCCCTGCTGATCTTACCCCCCCCCCAGAGCTCTTGGCTACCTGGGACTCTCTGGCCAGAAAGGAGGGGCAGCCATAATTGCCGCCCCCACCCATGTGACCTGATGACCCCTCATTATAGGGTCAGCCCTGTTAGGCGCCGTCATTTTAATAGCTTTAGAGGGGTTAGTAGCTGCTTACCTCTTCTGTCCTCCTTCCGTTTCCTTCATACAGCTCAAACGTTCATACGTGTTTTCATGATTGAGGTTCAGTGGCTGTCAGTTCAGTAGAACTATTTCAGAACGCCTTAGAACGGAATATTCCATTTCACAATGGAGGCGTTTCAATGCGAGGAGCAGAATGGATGCCTTAGAGTGGAAGTGAAAGGGTGCCTGGGAAAAAAAAAATCAAACTGTATAAAGGGAAATGGAGCCTGGATACAGGTGCGTGCAAAGGTGAGAATCGGACTGTTGCTGTGATGTGTACGAAGAACACGCTAGTGATGTGTACAAAGAACACGCTAAGACATCCCAGTGAACTCTGCCCATCGGACGATCTGCGCCATGTATGGAAGTGTTTAAATATAGGGGTTCCGTTGCATGCCTTCTTCCGTCACTTCGTACCAGCTCACTCTCGTCTCTCTCTCTTTTATCAAGGTGCGATGGAGCTGTCTGTGGCTCAGTGGCTTCTCGTCCTCTGTCTGGTGGCTTTCCCTCTCCTCTACGAATGGAGCATCTCCTTCAAGTACTTCTGCAAAATGGCTTTCTATAATGGCTGGATCCTGACGTTGGCCATACTGGCTATCCCTATATGTGCCGTTAGGGGGCGCAATGTGGAGAATATGAAGTAAGTTCTTCTGACGTTTCCCTATCCTTTCATCTGGGTTACCTTGACTAAGCATTTTCATTTATAGGGGCTGCACACTGCTGAGGTGCATTGAGAACCTCGTACTCGGTGTTGGGGGTATACCATCATGGTGGACATTCATCTCCTGGAGAATGCTGTGTATGAGGACAGCCAGATGTCTCACAGCTCATCAATGGTCATCTCTAGACTCACCCATAGGGTGATAGAAGTGCACAGGGGGTGAAATGTTTGTTCCCATTCCTTCGTGGAAGAGTCAACCTTCATAGACTTGACTAGAAAATGCAATGCCACGGCAAACAGGAAGTGCAGCTCGCAGTATTGCCCTGGGTGTTGGAAGAAAATGACCCAGTTTCTTGTCCTGGTGACGCTCTGTGCTTAACATCAGGTTTCCCGCTTTTGGTGTGACAATCAAACCGTCAAGGGGCACTTCATGGGGAACCAGGATGTTCCGCTTGTGCCCTGGAGGTCACTAGGGCAGGAATGAGAGGAAATCACCCTAAGTGGGTGACCCGGTGCTCAACATGTGGTTTCCCATTATGATGTGACAATGGGACTGTCGGGGGCTCTCTTAGTGGGGAAGAAGGAAATGCTGCTCACTGTAGTGCCCTGGGTGTTACTGGGGCAGGAAGTGAGAGGTAATCACTGCAACTTCTTGCCCTGGTGATGCTATGGGCTTTACGTCTGGTTTCCCTCTTTAGTGTGACGACAGTGTCCCGGGGTGCTTCCTTAGTTGGGAAACGGGAGGTTCAGCTCACAGTAGTGCCCTGGGTGTCACTAGGGCAAGAATGAGAGGAAATCATCCTGCACAGGCATCAATATAAACCTGGCAGGGCAGAGGATCTAACACAACCATACTCAACCTTCTAACTCCAGAGGAACCCTTAAAATAATTTTCAGATCTTGGGGAACCCCTGCTATAATCAATTGGGGGTCACATGGAAAAATACCACTTACATTGGTAGTCAGTGAGAAGTCAGGGTGGCATTCTGACCATCAGTGCCGTGCCACTCCTTATGCCCAGTAGCATTGGCCCCAGAACTATGCAGGAACCATTAGCTGAGAGGTCAATCAGTCACAGCTCATGAAATCCCCGAGCAAACTTTGGAGGAACCCTAGGGTTGTACACAACCTTGGTTGAGAATGAATGGCTGATCAAATCCTTCCTAATTATGTCAAAATAATAAAAAATAAAAAAAGTTTTTGTTTTGGCTTTGTTTTACCAGATAGGGTTGGTCATCCCTCCAATTGGTGAGGTACCGCGGGTTCCTTCTAGAGATGTGCCGAAGCCTTGAAGCTTGTGTTGTTGTTGTTTTGTTTTTTTTTCTCTTCATGCCTGGCCTCTTCCCATCTTCCTTCTGCTTCCACATGTCTAATTGTTTTTTTTTAATTTAGCGTAACCTCTGACCCTTCAGTTGTGCCATTTACTTAAGTCTGACCTTGTCCTTGCCATGTGGTTTCCTTTCCCTGATTCCCCCGCATAGCATCCTTCCTCCTTACCCCACCTACACCAAAATATCTCACATGGATTGTTTGTGCCGCGTCCGGCCTTTCCTGTGAGTTTTATGTGCTTGCTAATGATTTCCCTTTTTCTTATATCTCCCCTGCAGGTGCCTAACCTGCATCTGAGACCTAAAGCCTGCTGTCATTCCTCTCCTCTCCTGCTTGCATGATATTGATCTGAAGGGACGCTGTTCCTTTGTTCTCTAAATCCAAGAACAAAAATGTAATATGTTAAACATGCTTAGAATAAACATAGGTCTATACTTAGACAAACAGGAATAATAAAAACAAAAACCCACAAATGTAAAAAAAAAAAAAATCAAAACCGACTCAGGGGGTATTTATAAAAAAAAAATCACCCCCAAAACTTCATGTACATTCAATGTGTGCGAGTTAACCATCTGCTGTGTGATTTGGTGAAAATTGAATTTTTCTTCTGGTCGAATGCTCTTCAATAGGCTCATTCATAAAAAACAAAGGGACAATTCCTCATTATGGCCACTAGATGGAGCAGAGGATCCCAGGAAAAAAATACATGCTAGTATCAAGATACAATGTTCTAATTCTAGAGACCGATGAAAGGACTGAGCATATAAATGTAACCATTGATACTACGGGGATGATAATGGTTACTACTGATGCAGCGATATCAAGCATTTGCAGGAGTACTTGTACTCCTGCAAATGCTCCGATACCAAAAACCGATACCGGCCCTTTAATTATGCGAATTGAAGCGGCTGCCATAGGTCCCTCCGCTTGTTGGGACCTTGAGGCAGCCTTCTTAGGAACCAGGCACTTCCACTGACCAGAACATCTCCCCCTTTCTTGAGACCCTCTGCAAGTCTCCCTTCATCCTGAGAACCCCCTCCAGAGACCCTCCCAAGTCACCCCCCCTCCTGAGACCCTCGGCGCATCGCCACCTCCTGAGACCCTCCTCAGCGCATCTCCACCTGCTTAGACCCTCTGCGCGTCTCCACCTGCTTAGACCCTCTGCGTGTCTCCTCCTGCTTAGACCCTCTGCGTGTCTCCTCCTGCTTAGACCCTCTGCGTGTCTCCTCCTGCTTAGACCCTCTGAGCGTCTCCTCCTCCTCCTCCAGAGACCCTCTGAGCGTCTCCTCCTCCTCCTCCAGAGACCCTCTGAGCGTCTCCTCCTCCTCCTCCAGAGACCCTCTGAGCGTCTCCTCCTCCTCCAGAGACCCTCTGAACGTCTCCTCCTCCTCCTCCAGAGACCCTCTGAGCGTCTCCTCCTCCTCCAGAGACCCTCTGAGCGTCTCCTCCTCCTCCAGAGACCCTCTGAGCGTCTCCTCCAGAGACCCTCTGAGCGTCTCCTCCTCCTCCAGAGACCCTCCGCCCTAGACATAAGGCCGGCAGCACAGAGTATGTATAAATATGGTGCACCTGAACTCCACAACTACTTTAGAAATATTGCCTTCTGTTTCTGTCCTGTGTTTTATTCTGCATTGTTGTATAATGTATTCCTGGGATTTGTAGTTCTCCTATAGCTGGTATTATTCTGCATTGCTGTATAATGTATTGCTGGTCTCTCTACAGCTCTGAGTCAGTGGCAGAACCACCATGACCGGGCATTGATGCTTCACCAATGTCCTAAAATCATTACTCTGTATTGTTTTAGAAAAACTATCACATGACAAAAGGTATCGGTGAGTACTTGAAGAAAAGTATCGGTACTCGTACTTGCTCTGGAAACAATGGTATCGGTGCATCCCTTGTGGTTACATTTATATGCTCCTTCTCATTGTATCCTGTTACTGGCATGTATTTCCTGTACACCTCGGCTCCATCTAGTGCTGGCATTTTCCCCGTTCACTCTGTTCCGGTTGCATGTTCTTCTGTATGTTCATTCACACAGAAGAGAAATTACACAAAGAACATTTCCACAGCAGCTGGTCAGCTCGCACTGAACAGCAGTTTCACTGGACTAATAGGCTATGCACATTTATTTTAATAGACCCCATTTCTTCTATCTGTTGGCACACTTCAATGTTTCCATGTTTCTAGTGCAGCTTAGCAGCTGTTGGATATGGTGGCTGCAATTTATGTTCTTTTTTTCTCACCCCCCCCCCCCCTTCATTTTCACCCGATCATCCTGGCTGTATCACACTTCCTGTCCTTTGGGTGACAACACTTTCCTTGCTGTATCTTGATTTGGATTTCATTGCTATAGGCACGTATACAGATTCCACCATCTTCCCTTTGGAACTTTCATTACAGAAAAGTGTGTGTGTGTATTATGGGATGCACCGATGCC